AGTGTTTTGGCCAACACTCTAGCACATCATCCATACTCATCTCAGTTCCAAAGGTCAACTACGGCGGCTTGATGTTCATTGGAAACGGAGTACGTAGGCAACCTACTGATGCGATGACTAGGTGTAACCAAAACCTACAAAGGTTGTTCTTGGTCTTTAGAGATGGAGCATGCATGCAAAGGAAGAAGGCCCTCCCTTCGGATGATTGACCTTGATGAAAATCAAAGTGGTGATTCCATAGGTACAATAAAGTTTCTATCTCAAATAAGTGAAGTCGACATTGTGTTAGTTAAGCACCTTTACAACAACTTCAATGCACTATGCAATGGCTTATAATTGAAGAATAGATTGTGAGCAGTCGCGACGGATATAACCGTCCCTTGATTTGATGCTGAGACGAGCAATTTGCAAAAATTGGATGATGAAGCATACAAATGGCTTAAACAAGCAGACAACATTTCACAGAGGATCCAAAATGTGACATTTTCATGAACAACTTACGTGAGGCATATGAGTGGGGTTCAATTTGCAGTTGTTCTAGGTGGAACTTGACTGAACCCCACTTATATGCACCAACCATACTATGGAAACTGAACCCCAAGCATATGAGTGCAAACTGAACCCTATTCATATGCACATGTTGAAGGTGGAACTTGACTGAAATTCCTTGTGGGCATGCAATAACTTGCATTTGTAGAAGAAATGAAATCCTGTCACTATATGAAGGCAGGGATCATGGAAGAGGGCTTATGGACCTTTCATTCGCCCTATGGCTAATGAAGAGTCATGGACACACCAACTTACCTCCTATTTTGCCTTCTGTTTATCATAAACAACCAAGTAGGCCTAAGAAAGTAAGGGGAATGGAACCAGATGAGAAACCGGCGACACCTATAAGAACGAAGCTTTCAAGATCATTCAATGTCAAATTAAGATGTAAGTTTGTGGGAAAGGACGCAACAGGTTGCGTCATAAAAAAAAAAAAAAAGAAGATGCCAACAGTAGTACCAAGTAATTTAAGAAAACAATGATTAATTTTAATCTGCATCCTATGGACTGCTTAAGTTAATTAGTGACTTGGTTAAATTTTGGGACTCAGATTATGCATCATTATTTACATATGTATTGACTTGTTGTACGAACACTCCCATGAGAATTCAAGCAACAATGAGGCAAATTTAACTGATAGTGCACCAAGAAGCCAACCATGCTTTACAAGTGCACCCAAGCTCTAGCATGCCAATGGAGTCACAACCCGATGAACCCATTTCTTCTAGGACAATGAAGACAACCAAGAAATGTAGGCTTTGGTGATCTTCTGCCAAGATGAGAAAGGTTTGGAAATCCTCGAGGATTTAAGTACTTGATGTAATAGATTTGGGGTTTAATATGAGCATGTCCATATATGAAATGCTCGTGTTTTGAGACTTGGATTTAAGCAAGATAAAGACTTGTTTTGCCCATTGTAGATGTTGCAAACATGAATTCTAAGCTTATTAAAGCTTATTTTGGTATTTTGGTATATGCCTTGATTTCCTAGAACTTATATGTTATAATTGATGAAGCACAAGTTTGATTTGTGTGTTTTAAATTGGTGTTATGCTTTATGGAATTACAAAGACCATGCGGAGAAATTATGCAAAAATATGGTATTTCTTTTACAGTGAGTTTACTATATTTGTTTGTTTATTTTAGGCCAACAAATGGGTGTATATTTCACCTTACTTTATTAAAATATTAATTTTTTCAAACTTTCATGGAGGGAATTGCTGAATTTGGGCTGTACAAACTCCCAATTTTGTCGTCATATTGACTTGGGTAGCTTTATATTCTAGCTAGCCCTATGAGGTTAATTGAATAAAATATCCTTACAGTTGAGATGTTTTAACAGAAAAATGAATGAAAATTAACGGCAAGTGGTCAATTCTAGCGTCTAAGAGAGCTCAGGTAGTTAAAAAAAAAAAAAAGAAAGTGCAGGTAGTATTGGCGCACATGCTTTCAAGTTCAGGTAATATCGATGTATAAAAAGGTGAAGGCGTTCTATGAATAACCCCTCCTAGGCATGAAGTGAAGCCTCACGGTACCTAAGATTTTAACATATACTATATATATAATTATATTTATAAAATATAATACTTTGTAAAACAAATATAATTATAGCCAAATCAAAGTTAATATCATCTTTTTCATTAGTAAGTCTAGTTGTACTTAGAAACTATGTCAAAAAGTCTTAAATGTTATGATTATTTCTTTTATTGTAAGCAATTATAGAGAACTTCAAGAGAAATAAGGGCGAGTGACCACAATTATAGGGAATTTCAAGGAAAAAAAAGGTTGTCACAATTATAGGGAAATTCAAAAGGAAATAAAGGTTGAGTGGAGTAATTATAGGGAATCTAAAATGAAATAAAGATTGATTGAAGCAATTATAGGGAATTTTAAAAGGAAATAAAGACTTAGTAACATGAGGCATTTAAAGGAAAATAAAGGTTGAGTGGAGTAGTTATAGGGAATTGAAAGAGAAATAAAACTTTGCTAATCAAAATGCTAGGTGCCGGAATTTGAATGTGCAACAATTTAAAAAACAAAGAAGTCAGAGTTAGACTTTGTCACGTAGGATTTGGAGAGAGAAACTCTCTCTTTCTTCTTCATTGAAACTAGAAGTCTCGTTTATTTTAAAAACAAACATGGATTTTGAAGAAAAAAAAAGGCTCAAGTTTAAAGCTTGGGCATGCCTCAATCACCTAGGCGTGGCACAACGCTGCCCTACTCCCACCCCACAAAACAAAGACGAAAATCCAGCCGTCCAGCCTCCAGGGCCGCCTAGGCGCGCTCCGAGACAAGTTTTTTTTTTTTTAAACAATGGGTAATATTTTGGTAAAATTCCCTAAAAAGAGCCTTTAATATGTGGAGTGGAAATAACAGTTCTTTTTGTAATTTCGGTTCCAACGTCTTGGCGCGCGCCGCTCAAGCTTTCTGTCGACGTCTTCCTTTTTCCGTACTTTTTCAGCAGAAATCCTAACGCCGCCGAAAATATCAACCGGTCTGCTCGCCCGAACACCATTCGACACGACGTCGTCTGATTTCGAAGAAGCTTCAAACTTAGACGTAGCCAAGGTAGGTTACCCTCTTCACCTCCTCCTCACGTAAATTTGATTATTTATTAATTTTCCTTTTTTTTTTCCATTTATATGGGTTGGTCTCAGACTAGGGTTTTGGAAGGGTATATGGATTTGGATAATTTTCATGTTATTTTATTTTCGGCTTTTTGTAGGTAGATAAGATTTTGGCTTTCTGGACAAAGTAATTGCCTCCCTTGATCACAATTAGTGATGTATTAGCAGATTAAATATGAGTATTAGGGAGTGATTAGTTATTGCCGGCTGGCAATTTGTTTAAGTGGAATCTTATATATGAGCTCATGCTCTGGATGTAAAGAAAAGATCAGTTTTATAGGAAAGAAATCAATACAAAAAACATATTGGAGCTCTGCTCCCTCTCCTTCTTCCCTCTTCCTCCAAAGTCCATGTGCTACTTGCAGATTGAATAGGGTTTTTGAGATATGGGTTTTATCATCCCCCAACTGTTTGATAAAATCCCACAATTGGATTTTTCCCAAATCTGGTAGACCACATATCTGTTTTCAATGGTTTTAGGAAGTAGGTTTTAATTGTATCCAGGAGGTGTGTAATTATATTAGAAGCATTAGAACTCTGACTGGCTAATCCTTATGTTTTCAATGGTTTTTGGAAGTAGGTTTTTATTGTTTAGAGTAGACAAATCTGCAGAGATTTTGGCTCAGTTTATTTAGATTCAGCTACTGAAACAAGTTCCTGTGACAAATGGTAATACATTTTCTACTTCCTCACCTTTGCATTCTCAACTATATGTGAGGTTTTGCTGAACATTTAATCTGCTCTTATTATTAGATATAAATTTTGATAGGATCCTGCAAATGATTAGGTTTTTACTGAATTGTAGTTCAGTCTGAAGGCAAATAATGTTTTTAAGAAATTGCATTGCAAGCTATTATAGCTCAATTTAGGGTCCATATGATATTTCCCAAAGGACAGATTACCAATCGGTTTTATTGGTCCTTGCTCCCTGGATAGCTCTTGTGGGTTTTGTTTTTAGATTCCTAGGCTTAGTTTTGGTTGATTTCACTCTTATTAAATCGTATGCTTTTCTCTCTCTCTGAAATCTTGTGTTGTAATGTGTTCTTTTTACTGCTTTTCTGATTCAGTTACTTATTAGATATTTGCCGTTAATTGCTTCCAACTTGTGTTTTTAAGACTTGATCTTGTTGGATTTGCTAATAAAGTTATCATCTTTGTTTTTTATTGCTTATTTCTGTAGTGGTCGTTTTGTTCATCTCATCTGTCAACGTCTTCCATTGATTTTTTTTTTTTTTTATGTTTTTTAAACCTCTTATTATCATGGTTTACCAAAATATACCTCTTATTATTATCAAGGCACCTATGTAAGACTCTTTGTACATTGGTTTTTCATCTGGTATGATTTTCTTGATATTTGAGTTCTTGCCCTTTTGGTTTTTCTGTCTTTCATTAACTGGGTCATGAATTGAAGATGGTCTATCTTCTCAGCTGGAATTGAGTTTCAGCAATCCTTTACTTCATATAAAGTGTTTCTTCTTCATCATTGAGGTCTTTGCATTTTAAGTAGCAGTGCTCACAAGGGATTTTGAAATGGTGTATGTTTTCCTTTTGAATCATACAACTGCATATGAACGACTGAGAATTTGCTGGGATTGACCTCTTGTTACATCTTCATGATTTGTTTTCTTTGGTATATATTTTAAACATATAAATGATAGGCTTACAACCGGACCATTCAACCAAAGGTTCAGTTTCATATCATTTCCGCTTTACAGGATTCAGTTTTGTGTAGTTAAATAGATATCATAGTCTGTAATAAAAAATTTTGTTGGGCTTTTGTCCCTTTGTCCCAATTACTAGCAAGAGATTACATTTTGGGTGCAGGGCTATTTTCGGTTGATGAGATTGTAAAAGGGATACTAAAGTCAATTTCCCTTAATCTTTTCAAGCAGCCATGGCTGGTGAGACAGTCGTTGATGATCAACACCGACGCACTTTGAAGGCGTTGGAGCGGAGGTTTGAGGCTGCCCAAGCTGAGCTCGATATACATAAAAAAAAGACTGTAAAGAGATCAAAAACCGAGGAAGCTGGAAAGAAATTGCACATCTCAAGTTCTTTGGCTGTTGATTCTTCACCAAATTTAGCAAATACATCAGCCTCAAGTTCAACTCCATCTAAGAAAGGTTTGTGAAAGTTGGAGCTTCAGATTTGTAATTTAATCTAATTTTTTTACTCTATGATTTTGCATATATATGAATTTTAACTTTAATCATTTTTTTTTATGTCTTTGTTCTTGATAGGAGCTTTCACTTTTTCGGGTTATATTAATTCACAAGGTACTGTTTCAGTAGTGAATTGAAGCAAATATTGTGTAATTTAATTTAAGAAATATGATTGACGTTGTGTGTTTGTTTTGCTTGTAATTCGTTATTCAGATATCGATGAAAGTGGTCCAACATATGCAAAACTAGCTCAATCTGTTGATGAGAATCTGCTGAAAACTAGTGTTGAGGTACTTTTTCATTAAGTTGGAAGCAAATTTTTTTCTTTAAGTCATTGGCTTAAGATCTGCTTTGTGAAATGCAGGTCTCTGGCGGTAGACAGGAGAGTAAAGTTGATAAGGTTTTGCACAAGCTTCTTCAGAGTGGAGACTCAGCTCAGAAGTACATGCAAGGATCCAGAAGCAAGAGAATTGACAATTGGATCCTCCTCGATAACTACGTGCAAGGATGTGGTGTTTTGACTGGCTCTCGTGCCAGGGCACTGCTGATTCATTCCATGCGTTCTAAAAAGAACATGTCAATGAAACAGCAAAAAAAGAAGGGATTGTTTGATTTTCCTAAAGATTTTCACAGGTGAGTTTTGTGTTTCTTAGCATATGTTGCCATTCATGATACTTTTTTTTCTTCCAACAAGTAAATAAAAGTAAGGATATGTTGGCCAAATTCTTTTTGCTGTTCTTGAAGTCTCAAGCTTACGATTCAATTTGGCTTGTTTTTACTGGTTATCATCTATATATTCCTCTTTCAGTAACTGAAGAGATTTGTCTTATGTGATTGATGATAAGATCTGAACAATTTTGTTTTTACCAGTTATATTTTGCCACCTACGGCGAATGGTTCACTAATAGTTTTGTTTGAATCACAGCTTTGATGAATTTAAGTCGATGCATGAGATGTGGAAAGGCTATATTATGCAACTCTTAAAATCTACTGGGTGAATATATCTTTCTTATTGCAGATATCACAGTTATGTATATTTTAAATTAGTGGTAATCTTTTCTTTCTTGCATCTTAGTTTTGAGGGGCAATATGCTTTACATTTTGCTGGTCTTCGATGTTGAAACTAACCGCCATTCATTCAATCCTGCAGGAAAAATCAGCTGGCTCAGTTTCTTCTTAGTGCAGATCTACACGGTGCTATTATTTCAGGTTTATTTCTTAATTGTTTCATTAATGGTTACCCGTTCTTGTCCTGAATGTAAACATTGTGCATACTGTTTGTTCTTATTCACCTCTAATCATCCTCAAGCCATATTATGAATTCTTATGACACTAGATAAACATGAACCATGGCTTCTTGTAATTCCAACATGTTCAAACATCCTAAATTTGGGAACCCTTTTTTTTTTTTTTTTTTTTTTTTTTTTTTGTAATTTTTAATTTTTAATTTTTGTTTGTCAATCAATATTAGGAATTATTTAGGGCTTTATGAAGTTATTTCATTTTTTTCTCTTATATAAATGGCTCGAGGATACATTGTTCATTATCAAATTAGGAACTTATTCCGTTGCCCTGTTGAAATGCATGTACTATTTGAACTATCTGAACTGATTCGTGCAGTGCTTGGCAGTGTCAAACACGCCTTCCCCTTCCCCTTTCTCTCTGCCTGTACTTACTGTAGTTCCTGTCTATTTACTGGCAGTTGCCGAGTGTAAAGTAACTTCAGACACTGGAGTGAGTGGTATCATGATTCGTGAAACAGCAGAAACATTTGGGATAATTACACAGGATGATAAATTCAGAGGTAATTGAGCTGCTTATTCAAACCTTCAATTATTCAGATGTTCTTGGTACAACTCGTGTTGATAAAACCTTGCCCGGAACGTAAACATGTATGTGTGCATGCTGTAGATGATTTATTCTCCTCTCGTTCTATGAATGAATAATGGATATTGGGCTTATTTGCAGTGGTGCCCAAAATGTTTTCTGTTTTTATATTTCAAGTTGATTGCTGGAAGATTACCTTGCATGGGGATAAACTCACTTCAAGAAACTTGGGCTTGTAATTGTTTCAGGTGATCTTCTCCACTATTTACATGGTTACTCCCTTCTAGTACCCTTTTATTGTCTGTTTAGTGTCCCTTTAGTTAAAAATTCCCTAATGATTAGTTCATTGTTATTAAAAAACTATTCAAGTCAAGTCAGTCACTCTTCCAAAAGGACAGAATTGTTTATCCCTATCACTTCTTCTGAACTCTGGCATTGACCAAAGTTTTTATTTTGAATTTTTTATCAGTTCCTCGAGACTGGTTGCTTCAGAGTTAAGACGGTTGTAGCCATGTTTCGAGAACACTATTTTCAGTCTAATTATGAGTATGAACAAGCCCAATTGTTTGAAGTTGCAATGAATCAGATTCAGGGTAAGCCTTTCTCTTTTAATTATATTGAACCAGCTTTTCAATGCATTATACTAGTATTATTCCCTTGGCCTCTATTCTATTATTTCGCGATCATTTTACTTGCGATGTTGTTTCTGCAGGACCAAACGATATCCCCTTATTTCATCAAGACATGGTTGATCCCTTGGGTGGCTGGTTGGTTTGAGTCATTTGACAACGTTGGTTGGCGGATGAGCAGCTGAGACTGCCTTGGCATTGAACATTCGAGACTAGTACTGGTCACAACAGCAATGAGCAATCATTGCCTCCCATTTTTTATGCCATGGATGTTTTATCTTCGTTGTATGACACTCGTAAATTCGGAGATCATGAAAGATGCAGTGTTATAAATCTGACTTTGCTTGTGGAAATATGCATTTTCAGTGGTAAGAAAGACATGACAAAACCAGTAATCTTTCTAATCATGGAAGATTTTTATTTTTGACATCATATATGATCACAAAGCATGGAAGCACTGCCTCCGAATTCAAAACAACGAGTTCTTTCGATTCCCTAAATTGATCCGCAGTCCAGTCGACAGAATCAAATTCGCCCTCTTCGTTATCCATGAATGACCACCTTCCATGTGCATGTGCATAGTAATGAGCAACGTGCCCTGCAATCACTCTGCACACCACAATAGCCTTCCTGGCACTTGCACACACTCCTTTCCCTGCACATTCCTTGCTCATCTTCTCATGCGCCTTCCAACTGTTGTCGAACAACGACATCAACCCTTCACCGGAAAACTCACCGGCTATTAATCTGCAAACTTGGCAGCATTTTCGACGACAGATACTTGAGAATCCATTAATCCCTAGCGAACATGTAATGGTGCCACCATGGAATTGCAGTAGCTCATTCCCATCAACCACCAACCTCTCCATCCTCTTGAGAATCCGACCCTTTTCATACCTGGATTTCACCACTTTCCTATACTCTTCAAACCTATGAAGAACATCCAAACTATGATTCACCCTCAACACCCTCTCAATTTTGAGGTCTATTTCACCCGCCCAACTACACCGAAAAATATCCTCCACAACACCGATCCAAGGATCTCCAACGACAAGCTCCGAGACCGCATTAATCCGTGTCGTGACTGTTTTCTTCGCGCTCCTTTTCGACTGACTAGGAGACGAAGAAGAATCTCCCTTGGGGCATGGTTTTACCTTGGATTTTGAGGGTACTTCCTTTGCAATCACGTCACGTCGTTTCGGCCCTTGCGGCGGAGGAGAAGGGTTGTCTTTTGGTTGTTCTTGTTGTGGGGATGTCGGTTTTGGCTTGGGTTTGAAACACTTGATGGTGGAGCTTGGATGGCACACCAACGCTGCCAGAGAAGCTGCAATTAGGCAGCGTTCGACCATTGTTTTGCTTTCTGAGAGTGCAAAGTTGACTCACAAAGTTATTTAAAAACTCAGAAGCTTTAAGTTAGTCCCATGATTACGTTAAACTTGAAGGTAAAATGGTAAGTGACCGATTAATTTGCATGATTTTTGGGAGGTGCCGGTGTAACGTTTCCTTGGCTGTACAAATTAGGGTATTAGAATCGCCAATAAAATCGCATGTCTAGACTTTTACCAAATATATTTGGGCCAAAATTGGATTACACATTAAAAATTCTTCCGCCAATTCCAATAGAAAAAACATGAGAAATGACAAACTGGGTGGTGTTTTTTTCCTAGCTAGCTAAGGTTTCCATTGCATAAATTAGTACATACAAGTGTTGGATTTATTTGGTCTTGTTGTCTTGGTCACCCTTCGATCAGATATTAAGAATTAAAATTGAAATATAAAAGCCCGTAATACTACAATCTAGTGTTATTTCTCTTCACTTGTAAATGAGAGGTCTTAGGTTCAATTCTTGCCAAATGCAGTTTTGAACCACATTATTATGGCTCATCCATTGTGAGGCTTAACCCACTCCCTTACCCTTAATATAAATAATATCCCTTGTTCAAAAAAATTGAAATATAAAAAAAAAAAACACCTATTCATTCTTAATATCAGACATAAAATCGAGTAATTATAAATTATTAGTCCCACTAGACAAGAAAGAGGAGGGGGTAGGTAGTGACACACCCCGTCCCGAAGGAGGGCATGCTGGCCGTCACGTGAGAGTGACGTAACCATTTACACAATTCGGAAGCTTTAAAAAAAATAATTACTAAGATGAAACACCCGAGGGTGAGTCCTACTTTTGTGAATTCTGTCAGAACACCGTTGGATTCCTCGTGGCCACCAAAGCTCTGCTATCTGGAACCTGGAGGGGCGCAAAGCAAAATTGAGTGGGTCAGTAAAACAAAGTTTTTCAAAAACATTTCATTTAAAACATTTTTAACCCCTCGCTGTAAAACCTGTATACTTTCCCAGAAAAAAACATAATAATATATAAAACCTCATACGTCACCAATCACCAATCTATCACAAATCCAGGAATATGTCATGCCATAAATGTCAATAACAAAATATGAATGCATCAAAATAACAAGATGAATTAACCGGAGACCCTGCAGTTGGTCTTGTACGGTTAATTCCATAGCTCAATATCCAACCTAGCCGGAGTCACCACGGTGACCTGTACGACCCTGCCGGAGTCACCAACTGTGAACTGTACGGCACTACTCTGCACATAAATTGGAACTACCTGAAGTAGTCTGTACGACAAGAATGGTGTAATGATACGCTCTAGTGCTTTTCTCATCAATAATCTGCACGCGTAATCTAAGGTCACCTACTAGTCGGAACCACCTCTAGTGGTCTGTACGACTAGCATGTCGGAACCTTCTCATGGTCTGTACGACATGCACCTACTTGGATCCAAGGTGAGCGTGCGGTACGGTGAATAATATGAGCACTAACATCAAGGGTGCAGATTATGAGTTCCCAAAACAATTCACATTATCGATGATTCACATGATTACCATAAAACTCACCTAATACTCACATGTGCGTCCACAGCACCCATTCATACATGTATATGCATTGACATCAATTCTTAATATTCATAATACGCATGCATGGCAATTTAAAACATGCTTTCATATAAATTCAAATTCTGGGAAAATTAATAGTATATAGGTATATACGAAAACAAAACTGCCCACTCACTTGGAGTTCGCCCAATAACTCCCTAGAACAACACATCAAGGCGTCATGATGATCGGCGCCTAGAACAATAATCATATCCAACCTCAGAAATCATATCGATAGAATATATAACTTATATAAAGCAAGTCATTACGTAGTTTGATCCGGAAGATCTACACCTCCGATTTCAAATCCATAACTTCCAGAGGTCCAAAATATACCTCTAGGACAACATCCTAAAATTTCATTACCATCCAACGGTCGGATCTCCGTCAATTGTCGAAACCGAGTGACGGTTAACATTCTATTTTATGAACTTACAACTCCAATTCCGAAAGATCCGTAAATCGGATTCCCGATCTGTAAGTTCCTATAATCCTCAAATATTACGTATTACAACGTATCAAAGTTTGGTAACGATCCGACGGTTGGATCGTCAATTCACATTTTCACCTAACCACGAATCGAAACGAATTTAGGTTCAATTACTCAATTTACGTTCATCAATTATCAAAACTGAACCTAGAACCTTAAACACATGCTAAGAATGACATTGGCGGGCCATTGGCCACGCGCCGCCGCACGGGCCGCCGCGGGTGGCGGTTGGCCGCCCCGGCTCGCCGGAAAATCCAACTATTTCAAAAAATTCTCAAAAAAATACAGAATTGAATATCTCAATGAGTAGAGTAAACTTTATACCTGAGGACAAGGCCAATTTGGCCTGGAAATTCTCCAATTCCACCAAATCCGTGAAGAACCCTAGAAATGGGTGTGTTTCAATTCGACCTCCAAACGTGTTCCAACGCCTCCACCACTGATTGGGCTTTGTTCCAAGGTTCTAGGGGAGTCTAGTGGTGGTAGAAATTTGCTGGATTACCTTCACGATCGTCGGATTTTGCCATGGCATCCTCGGAACCCATATTTTCGTTCTACTCGAATTCAAGTTCAAATCCCATAAAATTTGATTGGAAATGGAAGAGGAAAGGACTAGGGAATGATTGGGGATGGTTTCTTAGTCCAATTTCGTGAGAAATCCGGTGGAAAACCACCGGAAAATATGAAGGAATGGAAATGGGTGCACACGGGTCGCGGGTTGGGGAACCCGTTTCCCCCTTTCCCCCGCACGCCACTCTCTCTCCTTTCCCTCCTTGCTTCTGCTTCTGACTGGGCAGTCTCTCCCTTCCTCTCCTCTGGTTGGGCATCAGTCCTTCCTCCTTCCCTCTTCTTCTTCTTCTTCTCTTTTCTTCCCCATTTCCCGTCACATACACACACACACAAAACCCTTCTACATCTTTTTATTTTTATTTTTATTTCCCTTACATCCAAGCCATCCATTTAATTCTTCATTAAATCTGGACCATCCAAATTTTAATAATAAAATTTATAAAATGCCCAAACTTCAAACTTTAAAATCTTTTTCGTTATAACTCCAAATAACGAACCGTCAGCGCCCACACGTCCGTAGCGACGAGTACTACGAGGATATGTCAAGAAAACAAATCTTAAATGGCACGACACAATGATTAACCTCGAATAATGCGCGTACCTCAACGGGCATTTTTGTAAAATCATTTATTAAAACTTTAAAAACTCTTAAAATCAGGGACCGGCTATCACAGGTAGGCCTGGTAAACTGTTCGTATCTGTCGTTTTCGTGTAACACCTGTTATCTTAATGGGTCGTGTCATGTCACACCAGTTAAGATAACGGGTGATCTAACCCGTTAAGGAAAAAATTAAATTTGCACATACCACACATTGCCATATAAATATTACTTCAAAACATTAAAACACATTTGTCGTTTAAGTACTACATCTACACTCGAAAATATGAGCCTAATAAACAAACATCCATACACTATTAATCTATTACAAAATATTAAATGTGCAAGGATATGCAAAATGAAAGAGTTTTTGTTTTCAAGGTTGTGAAGCATTTCTCAAAAGTTTAAACCTTACCAATGGAACTCAAAGCTTGCATGTAGTTCCTTTTACAAAATCCTCAATTTTCATCGATTATCATGACATAAGATTTTGTGGTATTCACTAGTGTAAATATTTTAAATTGAAGATCGAATTCATTCATTGTATTCATATAGGGTCAAGGAGTGCAGCTGTATTCGGGAAAAAAAAGGAGTGTAGCTGTAAAAAAAATCATCAAAATCGGAGTTAAAATAACCGTTAAATCGTGATTTTTCGTTGATAATCGTCGAAAAGTTTTGTCCCGTTACTTGATCTCTGAATGTTTGTTTTTTGCGATTTTTTACTAATGTGATCTCGAA